CGTAAATAACAGTTAGGTGGTTCCAGTTGTGGCTGAGAAACAACATAATAAGTGCACAATCGTCATTTCATCTCACGTTTGGGTACAGTGTAACAGACAGGCTCAGAATTATCAATTTTCTGAGCCGAGCAATTTATGATTTGAAATAGAGCTGGTGAGAGGTGCATAGAATAGAACAGAACTGAAAATGCAAAAAATGGTTGTTTTCTGGTTTTTGTTTGCCATCCAGAGATTGAGTATTCATCGGAAATTGAGTCCGTGCAAAACATTTACTTACGGAGTTATAACGTTTTTGTATCATGGGAAGTTTGTCTGGATTTGTCTCAAAAGCCGTATTTCCTCAGCAATTTCGTAATGTTGAACATTCGGTGATTACGTATTGGTTGATGATATCCAATTTGTCGCTCGTAACAGCACTGCTCGTGATTGTATGCAAATCAATAAGACAGCGTGAATGAATCATATCGCAACAAATTTCTTCCTTTCATATATTCATATCGCAACGATTTTAGGTGATTCAAATGTAAGATTTCCCTAATTAACAAGCGATTGTCTCGTCACTACGCAGCTCTCGAATACAAATCACTCCTCAACGTTGCTTATGGTAATATTGAAGCCACACAATAGTAGTAGCATATTCCGATTACGTCGAATACTTCAAAGGTTTCATTTTTCTCTCATGCTCGATAGTAAGTTCACATTCATTTCGTGACTGCAGGCTACAGTATTCCATTTTATGAAACAAATAAAATTCAGTTATTTTCTTCTGCTATGTGCTAAACTGTCACTCTTTAGGCGGTCATATTTTGATCACGCGATGTATAATGGGTGAGAATCAAAGTTGAGCAATGACGGTGTTTTTAGAACTATTTATGTATATTCTGCGGTACTTTAAGTAAACCATAGTCTTTAAGTATTTTAAGTAAATCAAGCAAAAATTCTGGAGAATTTCTTGAATGATACATTCGAGAATAGTGTACTATTTCAAAACTTCCGGTGTTTCACAGTAACTTCGTTTTGTGACTAAAAATAGATTCTTATCGTTAGTGACAGTAGTTGAGTGAATAATGATAATGTATGACATCTTTGAGTATCGATTCTCCATAGTGACGCTGTCTGTCAATAAGGTGTATTTTACTAGTCTCGTTTCTGCACCATTTTCACGTCTCTTTCAGATTCTCAAATCTCTCATTTCGTAACACTCTTCCACTTTATAAATTGCGCTTATTCATTCGTTTATTTGAATCATTGTTCAACTATTGCATTTCAGTTCCAATTTCACCGTATTCATTCGTATTCCATCAAACGCTATGCTTCTCTCAAAAAACCTGTTGCACAAATTTCGATCAGAAATTATGTTCGAATGTGATTTTTCGGTTTCATATTCACAGCCCTTGTTCATCGTTGCTAATAAGAGCATTAAAAGTTGTAGTGAAGACTCAAATGAATTGTAGAAAAGTCTATATTGATTGAATGAATATTTATGAAGATACTGACGCTGCTGGCACACATATCATTGACTGATTTTGTTCAGTTAGCGAAGAACGGTGAGGTGTTATTTCATGAAACATGAATTCACCGAAAAATTCGTAAATGATGAACTTCAAATCAAACATCATTTCAAAAATTCATCTTGAGGTATGAAAAGACGAATTAATGAGGGGTTGGGAGGGAGGAGAGAGTAAAGGTGGGATGGGGCTAGGCCTTTTCTACCTGTTCGGAGACGAACAAGATTTTTGAAGGCTGAGGAGTTCATTTTTTTGGGGGAATGGGAGGGGAGAGGGAAGTAGTATAAGTTTTTTTCATCAACTAATCACAGATGTTGAACAGCAGCTGTTCTCTGTTATCAATTGTTTTCGACTTCATTACTGTCCCATTCAAGAATACATTGTTCCAAATCTACACGTGAATATGCCAATAAAACTCTTCCTTCAACTGATTGCTTCAGCAGTTTTTTTTTTGTTGATTTTCGTCTCTTTATGCTCAATATTTTTACTGTCCGGTATTATCAGCCGATTCAAAAATGAATTTTGAGTAACTGCGAAATATATAACAAATCATATTAATGATTCAAAAACGTATGCATGACCTCTTGACTTGTGAATAGTTCTTCTGGTTCACTGGATTTTTCTTAAAACAAATCCCCATAAAAATTGGTCAAAAGCATTTGAAGATATTGTGATTAAGGTATTTAACAACAACATGATAGACCGATGGTCGATTATATGTGTTATTATAGAAACCGATTAAACCAATGCTTCAAGGAAAATATGAAATTAAATCGAGAATTGCAATAACAGCGAAATTAAGAATATCACGAGACTATATACTCCATCGTACAATCTGCACGTTAACTGGGCACGAAAGGAAGTAATGAAATGTCTAAGAAACAAAATGATCTAGTTTTATTGCTGAACGTTATTCAAATGAATATGGTTACAATGAACATGATTGCGTGATTGTGGAAGCGTTTGAATGTATTGATTTGCTTAGTTGTATGCCCAGCAGAGTTATGGAATGTAAATAGATTGTTTATCAGTAAATGCTGTCTGAATATGCAATAGTAACGTGTACAATAGTCATAGCAAGAATGTGCACGTATACAAACACGTATGCATATGTGATTCATTTGCTTGCAACCCAGCAGTCGTTACCTATTTCTGGTGGGTATTCGAATGGACCATCTTATCCAAATGTTTTGATTACACGCAAATTATGAGATATCCATTGCGAAAGTGCCGCAAGTTGACCTGTCTTTTCGGCGCATAGCTGTGTTGCTACCAAACAAATTCAATAGGATTTCTTATTCGGGAATGACTTGGGTTGATATTCATGCATACATACGATGATTCATTGACGCTTGTCAAATAATGATTCTGGAAACGATATTTCATAGACATTGATGAGAGATTTTGCCTGATGACATTGAATTTCTTCGCGTCGCCTTCTTTATCCAATTCAAATCGCAAGTTTTTATGATGAATAATGATTGTATCGCCTAAATCACTATTGATTGGTCCCGAACAAATGAACATATTCATTTGAAACAGTTGTTTATTGGCAAATAGTTATTGAAACATTATTGTTCTGTTAAGCAGCGAAGCAATGCATACAAATAGCACAGCACCATTTAACAGTATACACAAATGCACGATGAAGTAGTTAATAATGCCGTATTTCTAAAGCAACGTATCTGTTACAAAAAACAATCATTTATTTCAAGATTTTTAGCATTGTTTGTTACCGCAATTAATCACTATTCCGTCAAATTACAATGGTCGATGGACCATCCTATTTTCCAATATTCTTTTGTAAAATCACTTACAATTGCAATCTCTTAGGCTAGGGGCATTAATGCAGAAAACTTATTGATTTATCAAGATGGACGACTATCAGTTCAAAACAACGATTTGTTTTTGGCTGTAAAAACAATTAGTAAATTCGCATCGTATGAACTTCTCAAATTGGAGTGTTTTGTTCAATGAAATTTTCGGCGACTGATCATAAGGGCAATTGCCGCAAAGTCGACCGCTCACAGCCAAGTTCAACTGTGGAAACATCGACGACTCAAAACATCCACCATTCAAAACTGTTTGTTAGACTGATACATAACAATTGTTGTTGGTAATAAACACCAGAGCGTAGATTGAATGTGGCTAAGTTTTATCTATTCATTTGGACAATAATTTTAAAAAAACAATCAGCTTCATATTTCGATAGATACCTCCTTCATTAGAAGCAAACAATGAGTTACGTGAACTTTCGCCGCGGCCGTTTTACGGTCATCACTTTTACGGTTAGCGTATTCATTGATCCCTGGTGAGCCTAAGCCCCAACCTTGACGAAGCCTTAGCATATAGGCCCGGAGCAAAGGTCAACCTAAGTCTGAGGTTTAGCCTGTGTCTGAGTTGAGACTTACTCTAAGCGCAAAACCGAACCCTAAGCCTTGAGCCATAAGCCTAGACCCAATCTTCAACCAGATCTTGAGACTGGCTTCAGCCTTCACTTGAGTCTAACAGTGTTCTGAAATGTTCAGTTGTCTGGATGAAAATTGTTATCAGCTTAAATATTGCTACCCCTTCCAAAAGAGTGTCAAAGCAATTTTACATGCGATATGTTGTTAGGAAAACAATGTAATGAACTGTCAGTAATAACACGATTGGTCAACGTTTTGACCGACCAGTTTTCTTGAGTTGATCTTATTCAATCAAGCTTATGATAATTTTCATGACCTTTTACGATTCATTGTTTTCGTTATGCTTCAAAAGTTCATTCACGTGAGTTATGTTTTCAAAAATGTTTCAGTGTCACAACGAAGTATCCTGCAGTTTTGTATGAACGATTTAAGAATTAGCGACTCAGAAGCAGAGCAACGCAAGCTGATGGATATTGATAGTTCCTTCAATCCGTATGTTTTTAGCCTCCCAATGTTGCGAAGAAAAAAAAGACACTATATAGTCGGAAGAGCAAGAGTACATACGAAAGAATGTAACAATTCGTAGGAGAACATCACCAATAGTTTTAAACATTTCAAGCTCATGAAATGCAAGCATATAAAATACTTCGACATCATTTTAGAAGTTACACTCACTTCACTGCAGTCCATGAATGCGTGGTTTAACGAATATCGAACTGCAGAGCACACAAAAGTGCAATTGTGACCCAGAACGCCACAATAGTGCATCATTATAAGATTTATGTTCAGGAAGATTCAATAACGGCGATTTTCTCGCAGTGACTGATGAGAATTTAATTTCAAATACGCCGTTCCTTGAATTCAGGAAGCAGTCAGCTATATGAATTGAATTAAGATTTTGTGCGGTGTTCCTGAAGGTTCTTGAGAAGTCGCGCATTCGATGATATTGAAAACATAAGAATGCTTGAGAAAAGTTTGATGAACTTCATATCATTAGTATGTGTAAGCGAACTTGTGATTGCCTCGGTGATATTCTAGGGATTATGCCGTTCAGATATTACAAAAACATCCTCAAACTTAAAAAATGATGCCTCATTCTAGGTGTACGAGGGAATTTTACAATAGCAGAACAAGAAAAATTCAAACCGAAGAGCAACTAGTGTACTTATTCAAGTATGAGAGAGGTCAGTTGTTCATCTTGGAAAACAGTTTTAAATTTCTCTACTTTGACAAGCAATCAATTAGGTTTTGTGCTTTAATTTGTTTTGTGACGGCTTTAGGAATGACCCTTTAGCGTAATTCGCAACGGGTGGATGGTTGAAAGTATTTCAAGTACTAATTGAAACGATCACTGCGATATGGTATTGTGAAAAACCTGATTGGTTATATGATACTGTAGACGTATGGTTGGAGAAAGAAAGATATTGCTCTAACTTTCAGATTCATCGGTCGATCGTGAAGAGGTGATAACGTGGAGAGAACTGAAAAGTTTGGTGAGTATAAGCATTTCTAAATGAATAAAATCGAAATGAACAGTTAATTTAAAATTATCGACATTTCTTGTGAATCCTTTTTGTCACATCATATTACATCTCGGAACGTTTGCTTGTAAATGAACCTCTGATATATAATAACATATCTGATTATTTTCATGAATAGGATATTGATTGAACCCCCGTGATTGAATGTCAAAGATCCACGAGGCTGAAAAATATCAGACTTTGTGAAGAATTTTTACTGTATGATCCAAAAACGGATCAATTGTGACAGCACAGTATGACTGAATTCATTTGCTCAAAAAATCACAAACTTCGTTTTTATCCAGGCATAAATGTTGTTTCAGTCTTACGGTGCCATAGGCAAAAAAGAATAATGAACTTGTAAGCGATAGCTTTCGTTTCAGAAAGATCGAAAACAATGGAATGTTATACGACATCCGATGGTTTTGAATTTTATCAATGAAAAACTGTTACAACAAGCATATTTTTATTTGCTTCACATCATCTCATACGCTGCATTTCTTTTGCTTCTTTCCAGCTATATTTTCTACAGAACTACTTCGCAAGATGTTATCGCAACAATGTTTCTTTTGATATTCGTATTCGGCTTGGTATGAAAACTCTCATTTGAATGACTCTCTCTTCTTTAAATTATGAAATTCTTTAAGTTCTGATTTTGATGATTCCATGTAATTGGACATCTTCGTAAACGAATGAAATCTTTCTTCAAATAATTTGTAAGAGAAGTGAACCTTAAGCATTAGAACTTGAAGCGAGTATAGATATTGTCCCTTTGTAGTTTGTGAAAGGCGCCGTTAAATTACAAGTCGGAAAAGTGAGTAAATGGTTTATATTTTCGTATCTTTTCAACATCACTACGTATTTTGCCACATTCTTGTTTATATGGACACCAATGCTGTTCGCATACGACGATTACAATCGCGATTTGAAGGTTTGCCCGAAATTTTGTTGATGACCCGAAAAAACACAAAGCTGTGCCCAAACCAGTACTGTTTAATTCTTTTTCTCAAAAAGTTCCAACTTTGTTTCCGCTTCTTCGATCTGAGAGATCATCTATCAGGAATTGTTCCGAGATAATGTTGCTCAGTTCCGAGAAGAAATACTACAATTGTGGTTGAAAGCAGAATTCCTCCCACGGTTGCTTTCACCCGGTTCCAAATTATCACTGATTATGAGCAGTGTACGAACATATAAAACAACAACGTATAAAAGTGCATCACAATCACAAATTTGATGCGCCGTTTCAAACAGAGAATTATTTGCAGCATTTTATCACATGGTTCCTTCCGATCATAGCCGTTATTTCTGCATGGGCTAATTTTTTGTACATACTGCGAAAATCACCGTATGGAATATATATTCTCATGATGAACAGGATCCTTTATTCTTTTTCACAGGTATACCGTTTGATGCAAAACCTAGGCCGATGAGATATTTCTCTGTGAATAGCTAAGACAATGTTGCCGCATAAAAGCATATATTATTGCCTAAATAGTACTTTCTCTCACATCAATTTTGTTTACTCCTTGGCGAAAGAATTTAGTGAAATAATTCACATATCAGAACGAAAATGCACGCAAATAGAACTTTCATCTCTGTAACACAGACCCAACTGTTTCCTCGACTTAATGTTAATGCAGAATCTTATAATAGCGGAAATTAGCACTAAATTGATTGATGAGGAATATCTAATTGAATTCAGGACCGATGAAACAGGAATGAGAGTGAGATGGGCGTAAGTTGTTGCAGCTGAGTATTGCAACGAATCAAAAAATGCTGTAGTTAAAGCCGATGGGCATAACGAGCTTCAACAGAAACAAAACTTTCAGATTGCAATTATTTGGGTACCAACACTACTCGCTTTTGCATTTGCATTTCATTTGGTGATGCGTAACAGTGGAACTGAACCTTGGGAAGCATCAGATGCTGTAAGTGAATTTCACTTCAAAAAGAACATATTCAAAATTTTGACTTAGGTTTTCCATTCGAGATTTCAATCGATATTTATTCCAAAAAAGATGGCATCAACAAATGTGATATTCTTGACAAATATCTATATGTCTAATGCCAACGTGAATAAAAACCTCATAAACAGTCGTCACACTGAAATACATTCAACTCATTTATAGCTTATGCCAAACGCTACTGTAGCTCGACAGTTCCTCGCCATTTTGCAAGCAATAACCAAGACGTCTACAATGATGATAGGTCAATAAGTCATAATTATGTTATTTCAAATAAATTCAGTTTTTCGTTTTTGAAATTTCTTGGCGAATCTTATTGCAATAAACACTGATTATCAGTACAAATGCATTTCAATCAGTACAAATGCATATGTTGAATGTGTTACTCAGTTCCACAGTCATACACTTCTATTCTTCGTTTGATACATCTCTTGATCAAACGAGTTCAGCAGGAAAATCATGAATGTGCTTACGAATTGTTTCAGGCGAAATAGACGCTGACAATGTACTTGAACGAAAAGAATGGATTCCGAATCTATTGCTATTGGTCTTTGAAATCACTACTGTAATTCTATTGATGAACTTAATGGTACGTTCTTTGGTGTGGTCGTTCAGAGATGCTCATTAAGACGGTTTTAAGGATTCATTTACTTTTAGGAATATGTTCATAAGTGGATTTTCGATAACTAAATAATTTACTTCCAGTTAAGTGCATATGCTTCCGCAACTTCAACATCTATATCGTTGAGTCATCAGTATTTTTCTGAAATGATATTTTTATGAAACGGTTATCGCAAGACAAAAAAATTGAAAGCAATATGCTATTTTGGAATGTTGGCGTGAATCACACACATAAAAAAGTGTTCATGCGATGGTAAATTCTGTTTTTGAGACCATTCTGCTGTGGCAGTTGTTTAAATTGTTCATTCGTATGAGGAAATTAGTAGTTCATTTCACTGAAACCAAATTTTAAATAATTTGAAAGGGATAGATCAGTGGTTCTCATGCTTCGGTACTCCATTACCCCTTTTGATGACCTGGCTGGCCGCCGTTCTCTCTCTCCCCNATTTTTACATATAACGTCAGGAACAAACATAAAACCGGTCCGGAAAATTCTCAACGGCGTGAAAAAAATTAGTATCCTAGACCGTTGTATTGCTCATTACTGCAATCGATTATGGTTGCATGAAAAGCTATTGTCTATGACACGCTCAATTTAAACTGATTCAGATACATTCTCATTCTTTTCAGACGTGTTGTATTCACTCTCATAGCTATTACATGCAAATACCGTTCTCTTCATGACTTTTTCTCATTCACTTCGTCTCATTTCATTTCACAGTTAGAATCACTTTCTCATTCAATAACATATACTATTTACTGAATACGTTGACGAGTGTTGACAGCAGAAATCAACAATACAGCAATCGAATATTATTGCACAACAATTCGTTGACGAGTGTTGACAGCCGAAATCAACAATACAGCAATCGAATATCATTGCTCAACAGTCAAATACGAGTGTTGACAGCAGAAATCAACAATACAGCAATCGAATATTATTGTTCAACAACATTCGACAGCCAATTGATCAATTATAGAGTGTATTTGATAGAATGAGAATTTGACTTTAATTATTTAGCAATTATAGAGTGTATTTGATAGAATGAGAATTTGACTTTAATTGCTGTGTGAAATGAATGAGAAATTAGCAAAATAAAACACTTTTGGTGATAAAAGCTATGAGAGCGATTATAGCAGCAAGAAAAAGAATGTAAACCATGTTAAAACGAATGAAAACCCTGTTAGGCTCGGACGAACTAATGATACTCACAATCAGAAAAAAAGGAGAATGAAGAGTGTTGCCATTAACTAACCTAATATCCGAGTCAAACAACAACATCACAATCGGGTTCTATCAGAACATAACAACTGCACGAAATACTAATTTTCCGGCCCCCTCCATTAGTCCTTGACACCTCCAAATTACCCAAAGTGGATAATCTCACCCCGTATGAGAATCGCTGGAATAGATGATCACCTAAAGCGGATCTGATCTTTCAGATTTCTTTAGCTGTTGGTGATGTAAACGAATTACGACACTCAGCGCAAGCAAAACTTCTGGAAATCAAGGTGAATTATACGTACATTTTTAGTGAAATCTATTACGACAGTCAGGCACAATGCGTTGCACATAGATCATTCAGTGAAATAGCTATACGCAAATGTTGAAAGTTTTTTTTGCCGATGGTTGCATTGAGTTGCATTGCTGAGAATTCAATATTGGACGTGCAATAGCATATGAACAAGCTCCTTCAGATGGAGCACTAATGATTTTTTAACGATGAATTTTGAAGATAAGATTTATTCTGATGTAAATTCTGCAGGTAGCGTTTACAATAGAAATGTTACAATTATCGGAAAAGTGCCAGTGCCGGTGCACGCAACAAATTAAATCTCTCCATCAACACGCAACAAACAATGTGCTCGTTATCGACAATGATGGACAAGCTTTCACCGCTCACAAGAATTTCGATTTCACTGAGAATAATGCAGGTACAGAAATGAACAACCGTTTCTATGCACATAGCAGTAATGCTGCAAGCAAACCGAACTGAAAGTTATCCGCAAAATCTATGCGTTCGAATGGCACCTATCAAATGCTTCACATTCCACAGTGAACGATCCATTGCTCATTCTTTTACTGTGCAATCAAATCTTTCAAGCTTCATGTATAACACTTTTTTATGAGCAAATATACTGTTTTGCCAATAATTGATATTTCATTGTGTTCCATGAAAAGTTCACATAAATGTTCTCGTATTATTATTTTTTGCTTCTACACTTGTTTGCATTGCTATTTATGAAGTCATAAGATGTAAGATCGATTGAATGTGATTATTTTAAACAAAAGTGATTAATGAGTTGACTCCTCATAGGTAAGACGTAACCAATGAATTCAGGTATAAACTCTGACGAGGGCGCTGGATATGCGAAAAAAGATACTGACGCTTTTGAGCTGCAAGCGATAAATAACGGATCAGAGACTCTCGCTTCTGTCAGGTATCTACCTAACTTGACATATTTTTGTTTGCTCTTTTATCCGTCTATTTATTTAACCAGCAATTGCAACTTTTTATAAGCTTATGCTTCTTTTTTAAAATCATTGATATCACAAATATCCAGCGGTGGCCAATGACGCGCTATTTGCTACTCCGCTACCAGTGGAGTTACTTTTTTCATATAGCGGATATTTGTACTGATAACTTCCGTTACAGTGAGTTCATAGCAGCATAAACAGGGTTTTAGAGCGAGCCATTTTTTTTGAGACTTCCGCTAACTTTTCGTCTGTAAGAGAATGTTTATTGTTCTAAAAATCAAAGTGTTTGAAGCACATATTTGAGCTCTAGCACTGGCAAGTGCTCAATTTCAGCTTACTGTACTCGTATTCGTCTTAACTGGCCGAAGTTAAACATTCAATCATACCTTGAATATTGGCCATAAATGCATCATTAGCATTCCGTCTGAGCTCACCAAGCCATGTGGCTTAAATAAGTTACGTGACAGTGCAATGATGTTTTCCTTCACTTTTGTCTTCGCTAAGAATTGATATTCATTCGCATAATAACATGTGCAGCCATGTTCGGTGCAAATGATTACAATATGGCGTGTATACTGATGCAGTTGTTGCTGGGGAGGGGAGAAGAGTTGAAAAAAATCAAATTATATGCACTATCATATAGTGAGAGGGTATCATCTTACATAAATTTTTCTTTCATGAAAAGTAAGGATGTGAAGTTTATTTTGTTCTGAACTTTATAGTTTCACTAGCGTTTGATTGATTTGAACATCTTTAATGAATGATTGATTATTTCGCAATTAGTTAACTGTAAGAAATCATCACTGAATTCGGTTGATGATCAGCTGATCATCTGGATTTCAGGTATAGTAACTATCCAGCACGCAATACTGGAAATTCATCGCATCAATATGCTGCGAACGTGTCAGCTGGAACTAATCCTCCATCATCATCATCAGCTAAGGTATCAAAAGATGTGAAAAATTCTCAAAAAAGGCGTCGAAAGTTCCACATAAAAATATGAAAAAAAAACAATATTTTGGAAATACAAAGCAAAAATTTGTGAGAAAGTGCGAGTGTAAATGAGTGTTGTAATTCAGATTTATCATATTCAATTCCCGAATAGCGAAAGAAGGATGCGTATTGAAAAGTACACGATGTCAGGGCGAACAGTTCCAGTAACAGTCAGTGAAGCATTCGTTCAGCTTATTGAAAGCGTTCAGTCGGGTATCGAAGCTTTTAATGGCACGATTGAAGGACGGAGAACAAAGGACGTTGGTGCAGATCCAGAAAGATTTAATCGGAAATTTGCTCGATGGTTAATAGGACTTGATTGGTCCAATCTTCTTGATACATAATGACCATAAATTATTTGCTCTTTATTATGTCGAAAAGAAAAAATCGCGGCAAACAATTCCGAACAATAGTATGTGCAGCTATTAAGCGTTCTTTAAGAGAGCATTTTAAACTTCTTTGTTCATACATAAATCAGCAAATTCCTATCTTCACCGAAAAAATTCATCGATAAACTTCGAACATAGATGATGAAATCACGTATAAGTTCAATGACTTTTCATATACCGTTATTGCTAAATGGCTCGATGGTTAACAACTTAGATGCTGATTGTCAGTTAATCGACACATGAAGATGTCAGATGTCCAATCATTAATATTCAAAGTGTATTTCCGATTTGTCTCTGAGCTTTCGTTACTTACATAATTCCTTGTCGATTACCGAAAACAATATCTCAGCAGGCCATATTGCTCACATAAAGTTCTGTTTTTGTTGAGAGCAGACGATAACCAAGTGAATATCAGTGAAGGGTGGCTCACGAGCACTAACCAAAAAGCAGCTCAGCTCACGGTTCATGCTCTTAAGTGTTAAGGCGAGCCAATTATAAGCCAATGAGACGCTCGAGGAGTGTGAACTACTCACAGCTGAGCGTTCATTAGTTATTATTCTAACGTTTGATATTTTTCAAAATTTACGCTTGTCACTTTTATAATGTTGTTCGGCAGTTTAAGACTTGAAAACTTACTCAAGGGGATCTGTTCCAAACATATGCTAAGAAAATGGTGTAGCTTTTGCAAGCAGCAACCGATCACCGTCGCCAAACTGACGAGTCGTCAAAAGTGTTCAATATCAAAACCCATTATGACCAAAAATTATTTGTTGTTATTCGTTTATTGTTGTTTTTTGTTGATGGAAGCATTTATCATTCGCCTCGTAAAAATTATCAGTCTAAGCCAATGATGACATATTCAGATGGAGAAGAGTGGCAGTATTATATACTACATTAGTAATTCTCACTGCATTGTTGCATGTGCTCAGCCATAGTTTGTGAGGCACTCACAACTCACTGATGAGTGGTGATGGCGAAACGTTGAAATAAGCTGTGAGTCGTGAGCTGAGCCTGAACTGTGAGCCGACTGTGAGCTGTGAGTCGATTCAATGATCAAACAACGTTTATTGTAATCCGTACATGTGCAGTCCTAAGTAAACTGCCCTCGCACTTCAGTGCAACCAC